AAAAAAAAAAAAAAAAAAAAAAAAAAAAAAAACGAGCAAGATGTAATATCGTTATCCTCTATCGCGCCGGCGGACACTTTGCTTTAACGCATCTCGCGTTGTTATTATTCATCTCGCCGATTCATATTTCCCCCTTTTTTCTTCGATCTCTCCTTGCCCTCGGGACGCGTGCCACGCGTCGAGAAAGTTTCGAGCCGAGCCGTGAATATTTCACGACGATCAGCTGAAAACGAATGACTTCTGAGAAATTAACGCGTGCGCTTTTAAGTGGAGAAATAGGGGCGCAGGTTGTTCAACAAAGCTACCGTGAAAGGTAGTAGATGGCTATCTATTATTCCACGAATATTTCATGGAAATTGTACGGAAGAATGGTGTTACGGCGGAGAAGACGGAGGAGGAGTTTCGGTATTTACTATTTCGGAGGAGGATCTCGACGAAGACGTACGAGGATGAAGGAGATTGTATAATCTTTGGCAAAAGGGGAACGTAGCAATAAAAGGTAATGCAATTCGTTTCACCGTCGAGTGTCGTTCCATCGTTCTTTCTATTTGCTCGGGCACCGGTTAATGCGTTTGTCAAGAATACTCGAGTGTCTAGACACGACCTCGTTTGACTCACGGAAACGCGACGCGACCGTCATATCTCTGTATCGATGAAAAGGTGTGTTCGAAATGTTCTCCCGCGATCTTTCGATCATCGCCCAAGGAAGGTTATCGATAATAGAAAGCTACGAGCGCTTCCGAATGATCACGGAATCGCGCTTTAAGACTCGATTAATCACCTTGAAATGTCACCTTTCAACCTACTGTGTATAGTGAAAGTAATCGTTGTAATAAAACAGTTTTTCTTTTTTTCCACATGTACGAACCTCTGCGTTTTTTCGGAATCTCCTCTTTCCATTTACCGACACGTAGAGTATCGTAATTCCGCTGTAAATAGGAAAACAAGGAAGAGAGCAGAATGGCAGGAATATAGGGAGGAATAGCGGAAGGAAAAGGGTGAGCTGAGCCGGTGAGACTCGACTGAGGGGGGGGGGGAGGAGTGGAGGACAGAGAGACGGGGTCGGTAGTTCAGCACAGGCGACAAAGGTTGGTTGGAGAAGGAGGAAGGGGCAGTAAAAGCGGCGCGGAGGATGGGAGGGGGTAGGTCGGCGATGGCTATTTTTGGAATGTGGGTCACCCATAAACCCCGGCTTGTCCCGTGACGTCACGGGATCGTCGTCGTGGCAACAGGGACGCCGGGTTAATCACCCTTGGTTCAGAGCTACCTCTGCCATCCTCTCGCACCTATTCCACCCCATCCCTCGCCACCCCACGGACAAGTTTACCTGTGCCGCGTCGAGATTAGATGCAACGGCGTACGATGTGATAATCGATGCGTCGATCAATGTATTTTCGAAGACGAAGAAAGTTCCCTAGTGCAGAAAGATACACGTGTATTCACATTTTGAATGGCTTGTTTCTGACGTTCGTTCGTGTAATAATGTTAGAGCGTGTTGAAAATATGTTTTACCTTCCTACACGGGAAATGTATATAGATACAGGTCTCAGATACTGGTTTATGTTCATTCAGCAATGTGTGTACGCGTGTATTTAAAAACATTTCGAAAAAGATTTCATTTTTGTACCTGTGATGACGCGGATCAATCGCGCCATCTGTAAAGTTGATTAATACTCGTGGCAGTTATCAGTCATAGTCGATTTCAGAGCAAATTACAGAGCACAATTTTATTAGCTAAATTTTTGTAAAGTATTCGAATGACGTACGTTACGACGACAAAGTATATAATTCTGCGGTTGGATAGCGACGAAATGTGAAGATGCAAGGGCTTCTTTATTCTCACATTTCGTACCTGCTTATTTTATTTCAGTTCACTCTACAATTTCAAGCTGTAAAGAATCAAAAAAAAATATCTTCGAGTTTTCATACGATACTTTCATGCGATAATACAATGTCCCGTAACATCTTTACTATGTCTTTTTAGCTTACACCAGTAAAACGAGCACAGAGCTCTGCCTTACCAACGTTCTGACCGCGTGTCTGACTAAGCGTCGATACGTACTACCTGTCTGTGGAAACGGGGCCGTTCTACTTGACCCACTGCTTCCTACTTTAGCCGCATAGTTCGATGAATACTACAACGACCACCGCGATGGTAAACGTAGCTTCGAAGCTACATGGAGGAAATTACTATTTTTTTCAAATACTTT